CAGCGACCGTAATCGAGTGCAACCGTGAGGAACTGGCTGCATTACAAGAGAACAACGAGCAGATGCATCATGCCGAATGGGCAACTCCTAAACCTCTGGCAACGACCAACAAGGTGTGGCCTGCTGCGTACATCTCAACAGCTCACCCTTCACTCCCACTCTTACTCTCTCACCTTACCTTCCCTTCTCTCTCACCTCGAGAATCCACATCCATGGATGGGAAATTCAGGCAGGGTATCAGGTGTGCGTAGCGAGAGGCTTTTCCTAGATTCCCAGGCACAAGGCGCCTCTCCCCCCAGGGCCCCAAATGTGCCAATCCAAGACTCCTGGGACCTGGGACTTGCAAGGGATCCCCCCTGCCGCCCGCTCTCGGTCCCAGCAATCCTCACCTCACCCCTGGCCTTTCCTTCGCTGGGCGGCGCCGGTTCCCAATGGCGAGGTACGCAACTCTTGTGGTAGGTACTATGTAGTTAGGTACCTTTAATTCTTTTTTTCCCCTCTTTCTATTTCTCTCTCTCTCTCTCTCTCTCTCTGTCCCCACGCAACCCGTAAAGATGGCTATTACCGACGGCGCGGAATGGCTGGGTTGTCTCAACTAGCCCTTGCCGCTCCTAATTGCCTTTTTCCATCCTGGTCGTCCGTGTTACCGCAGTATTTCTCGAATTTCCTTTCTTTTCTCGCCCTTTTTATTCCTCCGATGCTTTCTTCTGCCCCTTGTTGGAGTAAAACCCCATGCCTCACTTGAGGTTAGCGCACGACTGGGCGATCTGCTCTCCTTTGTCCCCCCCCCTAATCCTCTCAAGCCTCTTCCGTTGGGTTTGGAGTCGTGATCCTCCTGGTCCCCCTATCGCTAAGAGAGACATTGCCATCCGCTCGGACACACAACATGTCGAGCGGATGGATGGAAGCAAGGACTATCTAGCAGAAAGGGGCGCTCTGCTCATCTCGTGTTTGTAGGTTTCTGCGACCATCCTTACTTGCCGATGGCGCTATTCATCCGTACCTGCACAACTCTGCCGTCCAGACAGACTGAAGCAAGCAAGCCCAGGAGCGGACGGACGCTCAACTGGATAGTGTTTTGACCTACTGTCACCCGGCTTTCCACCTCGCTGCACTGGTTCTCGCGAGGCACGCACCACGCCCGCCACGACGATGAGGCACATGAGGAGAGCGCGACACGACCACGCTCTCGTGTAGGTACTGAGTTTCGCCCGCCGCTGAAGCACTCCGCAGTGCCGGAATTAGGATGCCTTGCCGCTGGCCGATATTATTACGAACGTTGTTGACTCGCCGCCCGCCATCTTTGACAGCCTTTTCGCCGCACACGCCCAACGATTCATCTACCTTGCCGCTTGCCTTTACCTTCTTTTGTTTCGCCTCGCCGCACACTTGCCTCCCTTCTTGTCATGTCAGTCAAAAGTCTAGCCCGAGGTAGCCTCCTGAAATGATGCGGTGGCCCCCTCCTGAGTCCTTTGCCGGCCGACGGCGGGGCGCCCGCGAACAGGTCGACTTGTCTCTTTTTCTTTCAACTCTTTACACATCTACTATTCGCCTGCTGCATACCTGCTTCTTGCACTTGGGGCCCGGATGCCTTGGTACACTACCCCCTGGGGACAAAAGTCTGGTGTTTGGGGAAAGGTCGGTCGCTCTAACGACGCTCCATCGGCCTGGTATGCCCAGCGCCACCCCTTTTCCCCGTCATCTGGCTTCCGAAGAGGAAGCTTCACAAAGCTCGGGAGAGCCAAGAAAAGAAGAGAGGCTAGCGGGTGTGTTCCATGAGGTATCCATTTTGCGTTCCGTTCTTCGAGATCACCGACAGGCGCATGGGTCGTGGCTCCCCCCCAGCGTCTCCAGCCGGCAGGGACAGGCCCGAGTGGACCAAGAGACCAAAGTGCCATGAGTACCAAACGAGTTGTTCGTCCACCCCCCCAGCCCGGTGCAAGGATGACCTTGGTGCTAATCGCCCCAGCGTGCGATGAGCGTGGCGTGGCATGGCATGGCATGGGGCATTGGGACATCAAGCATGGGAGCATGGATAATGATTTCACCTTAGTGGCCCGTCTGCTGGTACCGGTGATGGGCGGGTGCGAGTAGCAGCGATTTCCCAAGTCCGCCCCCCCCCAGATCATGTTGGCGGTGTAAATGACGAGTGACGAGGCGTTGTTGCTGATGCCTCGATTCGCCGTTCGCGATGCCACCGATGGCAAAGGAACTACTTTCTGGGCCCCGATTCCCGTGTCGATACACCCCCGGTGCCACTTTGCTAGGGGCAACAATGTGTACCGGCCGGAGCGGAGGGCAACTTACATGCATGTATTGACCACCTCCGTGGCGTGGCGTGGCGTGGCAGGCATGCGAGTTGCATGCATCGTTTCTTACTCGGTGATCCGCCGTTCCTCGGGGACCTACTGAGGGCGGGTTTTCATTGCTCTGCTGCTGCTGCCGTTCCCGCCGCTGCTTGTCGACGTCGGCGGTCGAGCCAAGGGCGGAATTGGCAATGGCGGCGGCCGTGGCTTGCCCAGGCGAGACGGGGAACGACTTCACAAAGGGACGTCCCACGATGACGCGCTAAAGCCACCTAGAACGCGGTAGCGGGACGGACATGGAGGGGGAGTGATGGAACCTGCGGCTTGAGGCGTCGACGAGGCGTGCCGTACCTGGCAGAGGATTGGGCAAGGTGCCAAACCCACGGACGGGATCTGGAAGGGATGCCGTGATGTGTGATGTGTGATGCGAGGGAAGAGCCTGGACAAGAGGGAGGCATGGTAGGGCATGTGTGGGCGGCATGTATCGGGGGTGGTACCTTTCCAGCACCTCTGCGGCGACAAGGTACGAAAGGGGTACTGCCGGTCTTGCACAAGCACACACACACACACATACACACACCATGCATACACAGCACACTACGACGAACACATCAACACGAACACTACCATTGTCAGTGTTCCTACTGCTACCACCTCAGCATCAGTGTCTCTCGGTCAAGTAGTGAGTGGCATGTCAGGCCAAGGGGGAGGGGGGAGGGGGCCGAGGGAATGAGTGCCCAGTGGATGCGGACGCTAAGATATGAAGCTCCGAGTGTGTACGAATAGTGTGTGTGAAGGACGGACGGTGCCCACCACCTGGCACTGCACTCATTCTGCTCTCTGAGGTGCATTGAGGAGGGTGCATTGCCAGCAATTTCACCCTCACCCAACCCATCCAAGCGCATATGAGTTTCCCCCTAGTTCCTGGACCCAGTGTCAGGGTACGTACCTTGCAGCGCTCCGTCACCGATGGAGACCATGCATACAATGTATCCATACCTTCCTTGCTTCACTCCTACTCGCTTCTCAAGGCCCAGGAGGCAAAAGGGGGGAGGGGCCCTTCACGATGAATTTAGTGTGTGTCGACACTTGACACCCTCTGTACGCTACTGTACAGTAGAGTAATGTAGGGTTGTCGAGGAGAGGGTCAGGCAGTCTTCGCTCAGCCAAGTCCATGTACCTCTCAACCCATCTGCCGACGGCTAGTGACCTTTTTTTTTTCCCTTCCCCTTCCTTTGGTCGTTTAAGACGCTACTCCGTACCTTTCTCAACATGCATTGATGGGCCTACACACCACACACCACACACCACACACTCATTGTAACTGCCACCATGTACGTACCATTTCCCGCCTGCTGGTACCTGCCTTACAGTACCTTACCCTCCCATACCATACCATCTTATATTATTGTTTAGCTTTAACGTACTCCAGTCCGTCCCGGCGCTTTCTCTCTCCTTTTTTTTTTTTTACTCTTTCCATCCCTTCCCCGGCCTGCATGCTGCACTGACCTGACCTGACCTTAACCTGGGCTGGGGCCTGACCTGACCGTACCTAACTCCGTACACCACTTGCCGACCGTATTTCTCTCTGCCTCTCCCACGTCCCCTACTTACTAGACGTCCCTTCCTTTCCTCTTTTCCTTCCTTCTCCGTTTGTAATTTCCTTCCCAATTTGTAATTAACAGACGGATCCTTCTCACTCTCTCTCACTCTGGGCCTGCTTCGCACTCTTTCCCTCCCAGTCTCCCAGTCTCTCATTATCACTGGATATCCCATACACCCCTGAGCAATCTCCGTCGCTGCATCCTCCTTTAAACAACAACCAAAACTTACCTCCTTCGTCCTCCCTCAGCCTCCAATAGACTTTCACCCTTTCCACTTCTTCACGGATTCCCTTACAACCGAAGACGGACGGACACTTTTACCTCGCCTCAACCACGACCACCACCACATCACGATCTATACCGCATCACCCACTTGAGCGCATCCTCGGGCTCGCAGCTCCTGTCGATCCTAGCCAACGAGATTCCAGAGTGACTTGGGCCGCTTGTTTGCTTCTCAGCTGTGCATCTGCAGCAAGCACGTTCCCACTACGCACACCGGACTCCTGTGGTCCAGCCGCTCCTTCCTGCGCTCTTCCACCGGCCGACGACACTTTGAGCAAACATCCCTCGGCCACATTTGAGAAGCAGTACCACGCACCCTCGACCACTCCCATTCTACCGCTGCGTCCCGCGCCGCGCCACAGCAACCTTTGATTCTGTAAGTTGCCATAGGCCTACCTGGCATACCCGGCCCAGGGGCGTTGCAAAACTAGCAGTCGTTGCCCCCATCCTCCCTTCGACACACTCCGCGTTCATTACACGGGACTTCGGAAACCAGCACCTGCAATCGCCCGTGTGTGTCGCTCACGAGACCCTCTTCGTCTAACGAAAATCACCGACGCCTGTTTGCTGGTTGTCAACTAGATATACTCTTGCTAACTTGCTCCTTCGGGAAACACTAGCCACACTACGCATATCCAGCTTTTAAGATCTCGCTGGCTTCGCACCTTGACTCAACGCTGATCTCGAGTGTGTAACCCTGAATCTTGGCCTGGTTTCCGACGACCTTCTGGAATAGCTACGGACTCCGACGACCCGAAAGGCAGGCAGCAAAAAACTATCTTAAACCAATAATCTGAACCTGAACACGATGGCGGGCGAACAGGGTGCTGGTGGCGGCATAGAGAGCAATCGTCGCCATTTGTCGACATCGACTCGGGCCAGCGCCGAGAATGAACCCATTCAGGAGACCGAGCCCCAGGCGGGCAAGCAGACACAGCAAGAAGAGGCCAAGACACAATTCCAACAATCGTCACAAGATTCCCCCAGGGGCTTTAACCCGCCGTCTAATACGTCAACACCCCAGACGGCGCCTTTGATGGCGAGGGCATCATCCAATAGCTCGACAGTCTCAACTCCGAGTGCTCCTACAGACAGCTATTTTGGGAGCGTCCCCGAGGTCAAGGCACCCGCCCCCCGTATCTCTCGCCCGATCGAGCCCCCGGTGACGAAGGTGACTCTGAGCGAGTTGGACGTGTGCAAGATCATGCACAACCCCAAGCTGCGCCACGATATCAACTTTGACCCCGAATTGCATTTCCGACCCAACCTGGATGGCGACAAGGGCAAGAGGAAACAACACAAGGCCGACCTGTTCTGGAACACTCTGCAGGAGCAGCTCGCCCAGTTTGTGAGGGAACCAGAGGCCTTCTTCGCTGCACACGGCCAGGGAGACGATTGGTGTCTGCCATCTTTGCTGAAGGCGGTCAAAGAAATCATTCAGACCCTCGTGCCTCAAAGGGACAGGGTTTACTTGGACGAGGGGTTGAATGTCGACTTGCTGATGCAGCAGTTCTACAGGGGCATTGCGGACTTGGAGAAGCTGGCTCTATGGCTGTCCAGAGTGCTTAAGTCACACTGCGCTCCGATGCGCGACGAGTGGGTTGACCAAATGTACTCGCAGCTGAGCAACGGCAACAGGACCAACAATGTGGAGGAGCTCGTCAAGGGCATGAAGAGCCTCCTCAGCGTGCTGGAGGCCATGAAACTCGACGTTGCGAACCACCAGATCCGCTGCCTCCGCCCCATTCTTATCGAGGGAACCATCCCGTTCGAGCGAAAGTTCTTTGAGAAGAAGATCCAGGGCAACAAGCTGGACGTCACTCAGGCAAATGCCTGGTATAGGGACGCAGAGCAGAGATACGCCGGCTCCGTGTCGCCAATCGCCGCTCACTCTTTCGGTGAGATGTCGGTATTCTTCGAGGCCATCTCCCGGCTGATCCTGCCCTCGGTCTCGGAAAAGGCACTGCCCAACACCTTCATCTTTGACGAAGAGAGATTCATCAAGCTCCGCGCTGACATGCAAGATGCTATCAACCTGGAGGTCTGCATGCGCATGTACGACGACCTCGAGAGAGTTGGCCGGTTCAACGCCCCTCTCTTCGCTAGCTCCTTCCCGCAATTCGACGACGAACCCCGCAGCCGCCCCCTTTCCATGACACCCGACTTTAACTTTAACACACCTCCGTCTCGCCCGTCAAGCTTGGCCTTCAGCTCCGGCGACTCCGCCACTTCGTCCCCGCGATCGTCGCTCGTCCTCCCGCCCCAGCCGACATCCGATCCCACAGAATCCCTGAGCAAGGCCCGGGATCTTTACAACTCTCTCGTCGCGCTCCTTCACACCTCGCCGCCACCTCGCAGGCATGAGTCCCGGTGGGAGGCTATTGCTCCTTCGCTGGCTCTTCAGATCTTCCGCTTCACAAACGCTCCGGCCGACATGCTGCCGGTCTTCGAGTCCAAGCTCGCCTCGCACGTCTGCGACATCAACAGCCCTCTCTTCCAGGAGGTTGAGCAGCACTTCCACCACAGACTCCTCATGGAGCTACAAAAGCGAGTCCGGGAGTACCGCGGTCTGACTGGAGTTGGTCTCTTCACGGTTGCTACCGGTGGCCGCGCCCACGGTTCGGGGCGATCATGGAACAGCAGTCCCGACCGTGAGAGCTCCGTCTCGGACAACAGCCGGGAGTCCCGTGATGATGGCGGCATTGAGGACATGGCGACTCGCCTGGCACACCTCGGCATTCTCCACTGGAGAGTCTTTGCCGGCCTCGCCTATACCGAAGACGAACAGGCCGACAGTGTGATGGAGATGAACCAGTTTTAAGGCATGCCACGATGCGTTTCAAGACACCAATCTTTAATCAAGGAGATGCTGGCAGCAAGACCAGCAAAATCCGATACGCCCAAGCAAAAGGGCTTCTCTATTATGTCTGGCCGAACAACAATACCCCTTTTTACAGTATTTTAATCTTGCATTTCTCAGCTTTTTCTCGCAAGACTCTTTTGGCTACGGGGGTTTACGGAACCTTAGACGGTGTTTAGGGAATCAATACATCAGGCTCGCGCTTTTTGCCGCGCTGAGTAGTTGGGTAGGCGTTGCATGGGGAGGCGGTCACATCCAGATACATAGCGCACGCTGTTTTTCGCATTGCAGAGACAGGAAATAACAGTCTGATTGCCATACACTACCGAGGATCCTTTTTGGTTCGATTGTGATATGTAATGGCACTCTAAAAATACGCAGTCTGCTTTGTCATTGTAGTTTATTGCAGAGCAGCCAAACTCGCCCCCTCCCCCTCCAATGGTCTTCCAGCCGTCATTGCAACTGACCAAGCACATCCGGCCGCCGCAATGCGCACGATGGATGGAACAAGGGTGTGGGTAGCCTCCAAGCAAGCCACGGTAGCACGCAGGTGCGTGATGACGAACCAATCGGGGAGTTTGATATGAGGCAGCCACATTGTCTCTCTCCTGCATGAGCTTGATAGAGGGAGGGAGGGGGGTGGGAGATGGGAGGTGTTTGAGGACAGACGCTGCGGTAGCTTGCATGGAGGAGGATTACGTTCCAATGACTGCGGGTAGCTGCTGCTGTTGTTGTTGTTGTTGTTGTTGTTGTTGTTGTTGTCCCCCTTTCTCTTCGCGGGCTGCTGACGGGAGGTGTGTTTTGGGCAGGGTGGATTCTGAGATATGTGCACTTTCTGCGTTGGGTCGTGGAAGGGATGGTGTTGTTGAGGGGTTGCAAAGGGGCCTCGCCTGTCTTGTGGCTTCTTGTGGCCCGTAGAGTTTGCGAGAGGTGGCGTCTTTTCTTTGGCTGGTTTTTTTTTCTCTTTCTTTGCCATCTGCTATCTTGGGTCTATTCGAGTCTCATGTATAAGAGCCACCGTTCGTGCATCGGGCTTCGCTCCAAGGGGACCGCTGGGAATGTTGTCCGCCCTCCCGGCAGAGATGTCGGTCGCCTTGCTGCTGTGGTCTTGGGCAAAATGGCTTCCGAGATGCAGGTTGCGTCGCGAACTTGCCTGGGCGTGGGTGTCGTTGACTTCCTGCCCTCGCATCCCACGTGCCTTGCTCTCAGTTGAACGCAACAGTGGCTCCGGACGGCACTTGCAACGTGACCGAGTGTCCGCTATGCTTCAACATCCACCCGCGGGATGGGCCAAGGTATCTGAGATAGTTGAGATGGGGCCATGAGGTCCCGGGCATGTCGTTCGAGATGTCCGGTACGGATACACAATCTTATCTGCCCTCCGATTTATCTAATTGCTAGAGGACTCATCCTCATACAGTACGACTCCGCCGCCGTGGACCCCGTATAAAGTGGGAGATGAGCTCGCAGATACAGACTCGCCTGCACCGCCTGCGTGGGAAGAGGCACACCCCACCGGCACCCGTTGGCTGATGATGAAGTCGCAGTCGGCGGGCCCCGGGCGCCGATCTCCTTTCCCGTCTACGTATTCGCACTCTTCGTATTCTCGCGTGGCCCAAAACGGGATGCCTGGACGAGGCCGCGAAGAAGCCTAGTCCACGACGAGCCCGGAGCAGAGCGAGTCGTTCTTTTTCAGGAAGAAACACTTTGGATAGAACCGCACTCGCCCCCTTCATCGCCCCATGGGTTCCCCTTATGCTAGTGAAGGCAACTCTTCCAAGCGCATATATCTGACGAGTTGTGATGGGAGCGGTCTGGAGATTGCGGAGCAAGATGTTTTCTAGTTTGGTACTCGTAGACATGGAAATGCGCCTTAGTTGGGTATATCCGACCCGAAAAGATATTAGGGCCCTCTTTTGCGTATAATAACTTCGATGCCCGGAAATACTCAATGCCGACAGTGGCTAAGACTCTGTGCTCCGGAGCGTGGAATTGGAAGATTTCTTGGTCTGGCCTGCTGGTCAGACGTTCCTTGGTCTCGTCCAGGAATGGAGTCAAGCGCCACTAGGTCTATCTCTACTTCAGACTTGTTCCAGGCCCACATCTACCAGGGTTACTGTAAAGTTTTTCGTGGTTCGCTGCACGTGTTGTTGACAAATTCGTGGCAGGAGAATGAAAGCCGATGGCCGGACTTTGTGTTCTGGTATCAGAGAGGCCTTGCGAGGTTGGCGGCTCTTACAGTTTCTTCGCTTGTTATGCTCTTGGACAAGGAAATCCCAAGCAAACACTAGATGATGCTGTTAGTGACGTAGAAGCTATAGCTGCACATGGGTCTAAGTTCTAGAGCTTTCGCAGGTGCGGCCAAATGGCCATATGATGACGTGAAGAGTTAGCTCCACTTTTCGTCGTCTTCGTTCCCTACTTCTTCGTCGTCTTAGACGGCCTTGAATAGTAGAATAGTGAGACATAGTGCTATGGGGAGTCGATGACAGCTGTGAGCTTGGACGAAAGACAATGACGGAGGTTCGTGATAGACCAGATATCCATGATTCGAGATTATAGATCCTCCAATCCCCTAAACAACTTTCCGCATACATTGACGTCCTTCGTGGTGTATACTCTAAGCCCTGGGTGTCTTGGCGGTAATTCCATGCTTGATCTGGTTGCTTTGCTAGAAGGATTATTCACGGTTCCTATGCGTCCGAGACCTGGGCAGGTGCCATCTAATCTCCAGTGATACCACTGAGTCCTTGCCAGTGCAAACAGCCACACGAGTATCTGACTTGTAGAAGCGGCCCTCGTTGTATATATGGTTGTCGTCATCTATCTTTCGAGTATGACCCGGGGATCGAAGCTCAAAGCCTGGGGGTTACAAAGATTGGAAAACAGCCCAGAGTAAGAAGATGAGAGCCATCTGTAGTTGGTGCCCCTCCTCGATTACAATTGTGCTTCCTGAAGAATACAATGGCTTTACTCGAGGCCTCGCATTTAAACTAGTGTCGATGGGACGCAGAGCGCGTTGGCCAAATTGCTTTGGAATACATAGATACAAGATTTTCGTCAAAGGAATCGATGCTCTCGTCAAGCAGTGCAGTCCCAGCAGGGGATTTACGGCTCTAATGGAACAGCTTACACTAGGCCGATATGTTCTAGGCATCTATATATAATGCGGAAAGAGAAAGCTCCGCTACACATTGTTGATATTGACTCATCTTTGTATACACTGCCCGTGTTCGAACGACTTCGTCACCCATATGTAATAACGGCAGAGAAGTCGATCTTGCTTTGGTCTTGGCGAACGTAACCACACAAAGTGCAACGCTATACTATATTGGTTGAAAAAGGGCCTACGAGACGGTGGTTTCGTGCAGTGGGGGTTGAGCGGCGCTATCCGAGTTGCGGCTCAAATGACTCTGGGGGCTGGAACGTCACCGAACTGCCCCTATCTGTTGCACATGGCTTCAGAACCATCGGCCGACAGGCGAGGCAGAAACCGCTAGATTTACCGTGGTCATCCCCAAAGTGGTAAAGACAGTCTTGTTCGGTGAGAGGCAGATCACCTAGTGGACAGGACACCCCTTCCCGAAGTGAGAAACAGACGGGATAACAAGAAGTCTTGCGTACTTGCCAGGTCGAGAATAGAACCAGACGACCCCCGCCGCCCTCAGACCTTGACAGCCCGCCCCTCTCAAATGTTTACATGGCACGAGTCCAAGATCGGACGTGATGGACACACCCTTGACAGGCAACGTAAAATTCTTGGATTATTTTCGGGCCGCCCAACTAGGGGGGGTGTCCCTCTGTTCTCTTGAGTTTCGTGATGCGGGCGTCCTCAACCCGGACATATCATCTTCGTTGCGCCTTGCGCTGCTCCCATCTAACAAAGCAATATTCATTTCCCTGACCAACTCCGAACCATATAACAAGTCTTGATGACCCCCGAAGAGGGTCGCGCACGATCGTACAGACGACAAACTTAGTTGACGAGCATGGAGGCCTGTCGTGTTCTGTTAGCAATGCGCACATAGAGACAGACGGGAGGGAGACTTGCCGCCATGATGACACAGCATAAGCTGATGTACGGACTTAACCGCTCGCCCACCCTTGCAAATTTCCAGAATATGCCCATAAAGCTGTCGCGCAGTTAGCGATTGTGTACTTCGTTTCGAAACTCGTGGCTGGGTGTCCTTGCCCGTCCTTGTTCCGGTCCATGATGGCAGGTATGAGCTGGTGGACGTATGCGCACGTGCAGACGAGGAGGAGGATGACGAGGAGGAGCGACTGAAAGTTGAAGAGAGCGGTCTGTATCTTGCATTAGTACTGCTTGTTGTTCGCAGCATTCCTGCGGAGCACGACATACCATGGTTGCGACTGATATCCCTCTTTGCGGGGAACTGGCAACTCGGACGGGGACCTGGTGTAAATGACAAGCTAGCTTGAAGGTCGCGATACAGTAGGCCCAGGGGTTCGTTTGACTTCAGCCTCTCGTCAGTGGACAAGGTGGCCCGGAGAATTTCTGAGCCACATGTGGCCCAAGCTGGAGCTTCAATGTCCATCAGCCACATTTCCCGAGAAGGCGCCACCCCCACAATAAGCACGCTGCGGACTCTGAGCGAGCCTGGGACCTGAGGCTGAAGGGGATGCATCGATAAGATAAGCCAAGCTGTTCCTACCCTGTGCGACATGAAGTCTGTCACTGTGAATCGCGACCTTGGCGATCTTCTTGCACGACCTAGCTATTTTCAACCCCCTCTCGCGGCCTGAACCCGACACTACCGATCCTTATCAGAAAGCCTTTCAAAATCCCCTTTCCGGTCTTCTCTAGAGACCAAACCCTCGCCAGCGAGACGTTACCGAATCCCACGGCGCACCCCGAAGCCAAACCTGCCCATCATGGAGCCTCGCGCCCGCGCCGCCAAAAATGTTGGCAAGATGAACTTCAGCCACAACGAGTGTACGTTCCTTCCGCGCCAATTCAGAATACCGAAAGAAGCTAGGCTAACCCCCTGCAAGTGGCACAGCTCCTCTACGCCCATGGCGACGTCCGGAACCCGCTCCCCGAGACGATCCGCGTGCTCGACGAGATCGTGACCGAGTTCATCCAGGGCATGGCCTTCGAGGCGACGCGCGCGGCCAACTACGCGGGCCGTCAAAAGGTCAAGTACGAGGACTTTGAATTCGCGTTCCGCAAGAACGACGCCTTCCTCGGCAAGGTTCAGGAAGTCTTCGAGAAGAAGGGCGAGATCGAATCGGCCAAGAAGATCTTCACAAAGGACGACGAGGCCGTGCTCATGAAGGACGCGGCGGATCAGGAGCATAAGAAGGACAAGCCAGCGAACGGGACGGGCGAGCCTTCCACCGCGGCGGAAGTGGCGGCAAAGCAGGAAGAGGAACTCGGCGAGGCGGACGATGATGCCGATGCCGAGAGCGAGGTTGCGGGACGGCCGGCGAAGAGGGTGCGACTTGATGGGGAAGGGAAGTGAGCTGCGAGGCATCGCAACGGCAGGCGGGAACAGAATCAGACTCATGCTATTTAGGACACGGCATAGCGATTGGCGTTTTTATCTTTTTTTTTTGTGGATGAACCGACATGGGCATTGGTTTAGAGGGTTCCATTATGGAAATGGCTGGGAAAAGGAAACCGACCACGAGAATGACAAAATAATCAATAATATGGTCTGTACAGCAAGAGTGTCAAACTTATAGCGTGAGTCGCATTCTCATCAGGATGGCGGGACTGCTTCGGAAGCTAGCCAAAATCTGCGGAACCGAACTGGGCGGGCAGCCTTGCGTCTTCATCGTTAAGTCTGGGCGACCGGTGGTGACGGCGATAGGGTTCTTAAAACTAGCGCGTTCTCGTTTTCCGTAGGGGAGCGACGTAGATGGTGGATGGACAGGTCAGAACGAGGCCGTAGGGCCTTTTTCATCACCAGACAGCCACCGAGAACCATCCGTTCGTACTTCGCCTTTTGTCGCATGTTTCGTTCTGTTTTGCCATCCATATATGTTTTTGGTTTTCTTTATTCTTGCTCCTCTGGGCGAATGCGCTGCAGTTGTTTTCTTGCTTTAAGCACTTGAACAACTTATAAAGCGATCTGCCTCTTCAGTCTCGAGTCCTCGTTGGTTCTCGGAATGCCTTGTCTTGGACCTGTAGGATTAATGAGAATGACGGTGGAAACGACGTATGGCATGTTTAGTATATACATTGGAAAAGGTTACACCTTTTTCGGCAGGTTACACATGGTTTTGGGTTGCAAGAGACATCCTCGACCGCGTAAGGTTCAAAAGACGAATGTCACAACCACTTATCCCGGGCAGTTGCACCGTGTTTGATCATACATAAAAAGTATTGTACAACGTCTCGTAAACTTTGTATGCCATGGCCCTTTACTCCTCAGACAGATACGAAGACAATGCTATTGAACTGATGCAACGGGACGTCAAGATTCAGCCGCTCACCCGTGCACACCTACGCTCAACAGCTAAACTTCAAGACCAAAGGTAGGCAAGAAACGCGGGCTCTCTATCCGAAATCTCCGAACCGCCGCCGGAACCTCCGCCGGTCTCGGGATTGGTGCGGGTGGAGCCGCGCCGAGAAAGTGGACTGGCCCCCCCGGCAAACGACATCCGGCTTTTTTTTTACACCTGCAGGATGCTTCAGGCCCTTCCCTAGCTTCCTTCTCAGGAAAATGTGGTGTGCTGCGATGTCGGGGGCGAGAAGCAGAAGGATGGGTGGTCATGCAGTCTTGTCTGCATCACCCCGTTTCTGTTTCCGGGCTCGGCGGCGCGTCAGCGAAACCAAAAGCGCGCGAGTTTGCGCCGGACTAGCGGTGGTTGGCTGGCTGGTTGGTTGGTTGGGGTTGGTTCGCTCATCCACGCTCTTGACGCTTCTGGGCGTCTTCCCAAGCGGGCAAGTGGGTTGGGTCACGACCGTTCGAAGGCCCGGGAGAATCCACCCCACCCGCAGCTCTATTCCCTCGTCCAGCAAATCCGCACTTCTGCATTCGCTGACTCTGGACCATTCCCCTACGCTTCCTCCTTTCGGCCCCATTCGGCTGTTTGGTGGTCCCCTCTGGCCCTTCACGCACCTAGACAGCCACTCACAAGACTCTAGCCAGGCAGCAGAGAGCAAGGGTGGGAGAACGATGGTGGTGGGTTATGAAGCATGTGGCTCGCCGCCGTACGCAATCGACCAACACATTGCGCTGCTCTTCGACCCTCCACGCACCTCCACCGACCACGAGTGACTGATGACAGACAGGCCCACCGTACATCTACTCCGGCCTCCCCACTCCCGACGAACCGTGGGGAGTCCCTTGGGTTCTGCACCTTTTTTTCACTACACCCCGCTTCTTGCCACGGTCAAGATTTCCTTTTTTCTTCTTCTTCTTCAAGTGAAGAGTTGAAATTGTCTTCGAAATTCTGATACATAGGGATAGAACTTTTCCGTTTCTGTTGTCCTGCTCGTTGTCAGCCCAATCTCCTACGCCACTTCGGGCTTATTTATACCGCGCTTGACCTTGGAGCTATAGACATGACTTCACACAGTCGTCATGTCCGAACAGAAGCCCAACAATGACAGCCTCCCGGTTCCTCAGAGCCCCGGGGCGAAGACGAGGTTGGATGATACGTTAGAAAACACAGATGAAGCCTATCACAACCTCTCAATAGACGGCAAGGCGTCTTGGTCACACGACCACACTAAGGGAATCTCGACACTGCCAGACCCGGATTCACTCAGAAGATTTTCGGCCAGCCCATTTCAGAATGGAAGGGTCTCACCATTACCAGGAGCGAGCCACCCTCCGCCGACGATACAGCCGCTCAAGCAGACGACGAAACTGGAGCAGTTTTGGCTGGTCAACAAGGGCGTCGTCTTGGTGGCCCTATCACAACTTTTCGGCGCCCTCATGAACCTGACGGCACGACTCCTCGAGCTTGAAGGCGAGGGCATGCACCCGCTCCAAGTCCTCTTCGCCAGGCAAAGCGTTACTATGATCTGCTGTTGTGCCTACATGTACTACATGAAGACCCCTGACTTCCCCTTCGGCAAGAGGGATATCAGGTGGCTCCTCGTCGTGAGAGGCGTGACGGGCTTCTTCGGCATCTTTGGCATGTGGTACTCGATGATGTACCTCCCACTTGCTGAGGCAACTGTCATTACCTTCCTGGCCCCAAGTGTCGCCGGCTACATCTGCTACCTCGCCTTCCGTGAGCCCTTCACCCGCAACGAGCAGATCGGTACGGTGATCGCATTCTTCGGTGTCGTCCTCATCGCCCATCCGACCTCGCTCTTCTCCGGCGACTCGACGTCCTCCGCTGCCGCCACCGTGCCGGAACAGCACGCCTCGAACAACGGCACCATGACCTCGACGCTGCCTGGTCTGAACCACCAGACTACGACGGCGGAGCGGCTGACGGCCATTGGGGTTGCAATAGTCGGCGTTTTCGGCGCCGCAGGGGCGTTCACGTCGATTCGGTGGATCGGGAAGCGCGCGCACCCGCTGCTCTCCGTGAACTACTTTTCGACGTTGAGCACCATCGTCTGCACCATCGTGCTCACCGCCGCGCCGCTGCTCGACATCGGGCAGCCCGCGCTGCAGTGGGGTCTGCCCCAAACGGGACGGCAGTGGCTCTTCATGCTGCTGTTGGGGATGTTCGGGTTCATCATGCAGTTCCTCATGACGGCGGGGCTGGGGACGGATCGCTCAAACAGGGCGAATGCCATGGTGTACACGCACATGCTCTTCGCCGCGGGCTTCGACCGATTCATCTTCGGGAACGTGATGGGATGGATGAGTCTTGCTGGCTGCGGGCTTATCATCGGGAGCGCGCTGTGGGTCGTCCTGACCAAGAGGACGCCCGCAACGAAGAGGGACGCCGTGGCGGATGTGGAAGTCGCGAACGTCCGAGACACCGAAGCCGTTCCGATGTTGGCGGACATGGACGGTGGGAGGGACGAAGACTTTGAGCTTGAGAGAGTGAGATGAGGCTTTCCCGTGATGGGTTATGATATATGATGGCGGATTTCTAGGGATATGGATGCCGGTCATGGATCTCGGAGACTAAGATCTAGACGGCTCGGACTTGCACGAAGACATGATACACCCCTGAGTGGGCGGTCGCGACTTTCGGCACATTGTATCAGTATCATTCTAAAGATGAAGGACTAGACCTTCAGGATTGTATGAACTGATTCCAAGCATACTTCCCGTTTACAGTGGTGGTTAGGTGTATCCAAAGTCTGGTGTTACTAGTGTCACAACCGCAGTGTCGAACAATGGCTGGGTGCAAATGTCATCTTACGTGCAAACTGCATGAGATGCACATTTCCAAGAGCTACCTGTTGCTACCAGACGACGGTTTCTTCCACCTGTGAGGCGCGCGATCTCCTCATCCTTGATACCAACAGTTTTCTGCTCCAATATGTTCGTGCATCTTTCTGCTTTTAAGCTTCTGTGAGAAACACTTTCTCCGCATAGGTCTGCTTTATGCGTCTGGCTTCTTGCTGGCTAGACCGCAACGTGACCCTTTTGGGACCGTGAGCAACCCGAAAACAAAGGTAATGTTGAATGGATTCTCTCTTCCTAAGAGAACCCGTTTGTACAATCATACTTGGGTTAAAGTTAGAGTGAACTAAAGATATATTTTCTGTAATTATTTTTCTAACTATAAGACTTAGTTTTTATATATAAGATATATGATCTTATATATCCTTAAGTTAGTTTAGTATGAATATACTTTTAATCCCCTTAATAGATAACTAAGGGCTAAATATCTAGTTTGTGCTCTCTGTTATGATGTATGTCCTTAAGTTATGCGTGTTGTATAACTAGCTAGTACTATTATTCTAATACTTACAACTTTTTTTTTTATAACTATATAACTCTTTATAGTATTTAATTAAGTTATACTGATTATGATATTAATAACCTTATTATATAATCCTATAGGTTAAGCTACTTGTGTTATATAATAAATCACTAATATTAAAACTCTAGGCAACTATCTATTCTTTTCTTACTTAGTTAAGTAAATAAATTACATGTTAATAAAGTTTCTTCTTTTCTTATTAACTTTACTTCTACTTCTACTATTAATATACTTTCTTTTTTTTATATAGTAACTTTAGGTATTTAAAACCCTTTTTACTTATTTTTTTTTTTTCTTTTTTTTATTTTTTATTTTTTATATATATTGTTTTTTTATATAATTAATTAATAATAATTTTCCCCTTTTTTTTTAATTAACTCTAATAATAATTACTTATATATAAGATTTCCTTTTATATATTTCCTTTTATTAATTTATTAATAATACTTTATATAATTAATTTATTATATCTCTTATTACCCTTAGTAATTTAATCTTTAGTAATATTAGTATATATACTAATACGTTTAATAGTTATTAGCTTTATCTTTTAACTAATAATACTAATAATTATACTCTTTTGTTAGCTTTAGCTATTAATATATATTACTTTTGTTCTTATTTTGTTTTTATACGTTAACCTTGATTATAGGATAAGGAGTGTCTTATTATTAACATGCTGTTACGTAATATTAAGATCTACGTTACTAGTAATACTTCTGTCTAGTAGTTTATTACTAGCATTATTTACTGCTAAAGCTACTTCCTTATAGTCTTGGTTTAGTCTTATAGTTATATAGCTATTACCTGTAGTAATAAATACGTAACTACTAACTCTCTGTGCTTCTGCTAATACACCTGTATTTTTATTTTTCAGGGTAATACCTACGCTAAATGCATCTAGCAGTTACATAGCGCTTACTACACCTACTATAGTTAAGATATTGATTTGTTTAATAACCTAGGCAATAATAATGATAATAATAATAGCGGCCCTAGTAACTATAAGGCTCTTAACGTCATTAATGCTTATAAGCTTTATACGCTTAGCAGTAAGCTTAGTAAGAATATTAACAAGGGTAGTTACTTCTTTAGCACTTCTGTTAGCCTTATAGTTATTAATAAAAAGTAATTATATAACTTTTTTTTCTTGAAATCTTATATAATAATCAAATAAATTATATAATATAGTAATTTAAGAAGGTTATAGATATAATAAAAGTATAATCTAATATTAAGATTAGTATTAGTAGTAGTTAAGTATATTAAATACCTTTTTAAAGTTATATTTTGTTTTTAAATAGTTAATAATATATAGTAGTAAGGTTATATAAATTAATTATTAAGTATTTTCTCTTAATCTTTTAATATATACCTTAATTTAAATCCTTAATATGTTTATTATAATTAATTATCTAAGTACTAAGTTTAGTGATTTTTTAGTAAAAGCGTTAGTAAAGTTATTTTTTTTATTAATCTATTTTACTTCTAAGATCTTTTTCTTTTTATATAACTTATATAGACTTATAATATTAATTATAAGCCTCTTTTTATTTATTATACCTAGTTATATAAGGTACTTATATAGAGATCGTGAGTCTAAATAAATAATAACTAGAATCCTTAGGAGTTATAATATACAAAGGATCTTAGTAAGTATTATACTAAGAGATATCCTACTATTAAATCCTGTAGTTATCTTATATAACTCGCTTATAAGTATACTTTATATAATTCTCTTATACTTTATTAAACTCTAGTATATAATATTTCTTTTAATCTAGAAGTTTATTATTATATAAGCTATTTCCTTAGCTAGTATAATAACAAATCTAAGTTATAATAATAGATCTAAGTTATTTATAAATGATTTATCTATAAAGATATATATCTTTATATAATAGAGATCAAGAGGAATATATATAAGACCTTATATAAAGTTATTAATTTACTACTAAAGTTATATATTTAAAGCTTTAATATCCTTTTTATTAGGCTCCTTAGTTTAGGCTATAGTTAATAGGTTATATAATGCTTCTAGTTAACAGATAAATACAAGGTATACTCCTCTTACCTTTTAGGAAACATACTACTAATATATATTATATATATTAAGATTAACAAGTTTCAAGTATTTTATTTAGCCTTTTTAAGTAAAAGTAATATAGTTATTATATAATTAAATTCTTTCCTTATTAAAGTTAATTTTACTATTAAGTAATAAAGTAGTCTTTAGTTTTATATAAAGTCCTTTTCTTTTTAGCTCTTCTTTTTCTCTTTAAAAGAAAGCAAGTATAGTAAAGCTAAGTGTATTATCTATCTATATAGCTATAATCCTAAAGGTATCTAGTCCTTTTATTATATATAATAAGTATAAATTATATATTAATTTTATTATCTTTAGATCTTTCTTGTAATACTTAGAATAGGTTTTGTACTAATATAGGCCTAACTTTGTTAGGCTATATAGTGGTTTTAAGATATAAAGAAGTATATTCTTAGGGTATTTATCTTCTAACTCCTTAAGTAATTATATAATAATTGTTCTAGTTAAACGATTATCTAACTATATATATACCTAAGTTATGTCTCTAAGTTCCCCTTTGTATTTATAGTCTTACACAAGGGTAAGTCTAATTATAAGTATAAGCCTTTAGCTTATCTATTAGATAGTAAATACCTAGGTTAAGAGTTCTTCTTTTTCCTAGTCTTTATACCCTTATATAACAAGTCTTAACTTCTTATATAGCTTAAATAACAAGTTCTTAATCTCTTATACTATCCATATCTTATAAATATAAAGGTAATTATACTCTTTTAGATTATATAGTATAAAGGTAAAGACTCCCTAGTTAATAAGGTTATTTATTTTTATTTAGTCTAATTCTTTATATAAAGCACCTAGTATTATAATTATATTATTAAGCTATAACTTTTCTATTAACTCTTTATAGTCTTTTTTTTTCTAAAATAAAAATACTTAATTAGTATATAGTAATTATTATATAGCTCTTTTTTAGCTTTTTTTTAGTCTTTTTCTCTTATTTAGTTGTTTCTAAGAAATAAGTTATATAATATCTGAATCTAACTATACTATATTTTAATAGTATGGTTTAATATGTGTTACATAAAACTATATAGGACTATTAACTATTTTAACTATTACTATATAGCCTTCTATAGCCTAGACTTCGTATAGTCTAGTCCATCTCTTATTTTCTCTTTATACTAGAACCTTACTTTGGATTAATAGTAATAATATACTCTAGAGATTAAGGCTATTTCTAGTGTTAATTACATAATTAATCTCTACTTCTACATAAATACTTTAAAGCATTTTTATTACCTTCTGGATTACTTCTACCCTTTAGGTGATTTTAAGTAATAAAAGTAAATCCTTATTAATTCTTAGATATATACTAAAAACAAGTAGTATAAGTATAATACCATATAGACCAGCTATGTCGTTCAATACCTTCACAGCTATCTAGAGAATAGTTTCCTTGTCTATGTTATACCTAAGCTTAGTATACAAGATATTATATATACGCCTCAAAAAAGCATAAGCTCTTTTTATCTTACCTACTACCTAGTAGGCTTCTACTAGCATTTCTTTATATAATATACCTATAATATTAGTATAGTTCCTAAATTCTACTAATACAAAGTTTATACCTAGGTTATATATAATATAGTCTAGTAAATCAACATATATACTAATCTAGTACTTATAAAGTGTATTCTATATATCTTATGTAGATAAGGACTTTAAGAAGGTAACTCCTTAAAAGCTTATCTTTATATTAATAACATATAAGGCGTTCTTATCTCTTAGTTATATAATATCTATAATTATCTTATAATTAAAATAGCTTTTATCTTTAAGTATAAACTTAAACCTCTTTAGTATTAAGTTATATAATTAATAATAATAATAAAACTTCTAGACTTTTTTTAAAATATTAATATTAATATTATAATACCTAGTCTTCTTTAAAAGGTAATAAAAACGGTCTATACAAGGATATCTAAATTATCTATAAAGCCTTTAAAGTTATTCTTTTATAAAGAACATACTAGCCTCTATATAACTAAGGTTAAAGAATAAGTAACCTTA